GATCAGATTCTGCTTCACACCATTCTTTATGCGTCAAAGTTGAGTGTATGATTTACTCCGTCAGTATTGCTATGTTCCATTCTTTTTACTTAATTTATTACTTTATTTGTGCATCCGTTTACTCGCTTCACTGAAGTCACCAAATTAAACCAGGCTTCCTTCCCAACCAAACCATCTGATGCGGTCTATACTTGGTCATCCAAGAAATTTATTATTGGGTGTTTCTGCAACTATGTGCACTTTTATATCGCAGCAGTGTGATATTTATACGTCCTTACCATAACACTGGCCAAATGACTTAACACCCTGAGCTGTTGTGTAAAAGACACGGCGCAGTAAAGCCATTTTCACTGTTTTTGATAATAAATAACAAGTGAAGTGACTTGTGGCCAAGTATGGTGACCCATACTCGGAATTTGTGTTCTGCATTTAACCCATCCAAGTGCACACACACCCAGAGCAGTGGGCAGCCTTTTTAGCTGCAGCGCCCGGGGAGCAGTTGGGGGATCAGTGCCTTTCTCAAGGGACTCAACTCAGTCATGGTATTGAGGGAGGAGAGCACTGGTCATTTACTCCCCCCACCTACAATCCCTGCCGGACCTGAGACACAAACCCACGACCTTCGGGTTACAAGTCAGACTCTCGAAACCATTAGGCCACGACTGTCTAAATAGCATTGTGCTACATTAGTGTTAGCAAAAACATGCATTTGAATTTAATGTGAATATCAATTTGCTTTCAAGGTCTATTTTAAAACATGTTAGTTATAAGCTCTCTGGTAACAACAAATATAGAAAATATTGAATATGAAACTTTACCTTGTTTTGTGAAATCTCACTTTGAGACTATACTAACTTATGTGTTTACGGAAACTCAAAGTCATTTGGCCAGTTTTACAGTAAAGATGTATAAATGTGAGGAAAAAACAACACATTTATTATTATTATTATTATTAATAATAATAATAATTATAATAATAATAAATGACTGATAAAATGAGTGATCAACAATTATATTTATTTATTTTTTAATTAAACATTAATGCAATGCAATTTTAGTGGAAAGTATTTAATCTGATAAATTAGCAATTGCCTTTTATGCATCTGACGATTAAAATCATGTGTAGGACATGAACAATACTGGCATTTTGGCATAAAAATACGCTCCCTAGATCTCAAGAACGCATTATATTTCAATTTAATTTTGGAGTAGAGCATACTGTACTTGTCAGAAAGCTCATCAATAGCAGCAGTTGTTGCTCTAACCTCTGCCTTAGTCAGGAAAAGACCCACAGAAGTGGTGGAGAGAGAGAGAGCGAGGTGTGTCCTAACACCCTTATTCCAGCACCTGTCACCCGCTTATCACAAGAGACATGCACGCTTGTCCTTTGTAGAGACGGAGTAAGAGAGTGGATCTGTTGGACAGGAGGGAAGGCAGGTGTTTGAATTGCTCCGAGGCCTGTATTGTTTTTAGAGGAGGCAGACTCACATTACCACGTCCAGTCATTCATTGCACCCCTCCTCTCAGAGACTCTGAGCTCAGCAGAGTTTCCCTCTAACAGAAGATCTGGAGTACGAGCATGGAGAACTTCCTGAAAGGAAGAGAAATTTGGCTCCTGAACAGCATGTGTCTCATGGCTTCTTACCTGTGGCACAAACTCTGGGATTTACTTTCCTACCGCAGGAAGGGGAGAGCCTTGGGGAGATCCCTGTCTTCCTCAGATGCACAGGTAGACCTTACATTTTAAATCCTCAAAGATCAAGTAGAGGCACTTGAAGATTAAAGCAGTGGTAGATTTAGGGTCCTTCCAGAATCCTGTTGGAATATTGTAGTAATAATAAAGTCAATAAAGTGTTAAAAACGGTGCTGTAGTGGTCCATTTTTGTTTGATTTAAAGGTATGTAAGTCCTCTAGGTTCTCTAATGAAAGATAAAAAAAATACATTGAGACTACCACAGCAGCGATGTGGGTTTTTACCCTCAAACTATAGTTTAATACATACTTTTCTGAGACGTGTGCATTATTCCGAATTGGTGATTTATGATCAACATGCCATACTGCATTTGTACTGCCTGTGATAGACTGCACTTAGTGTTCACGGGATAGGCTCTGGTTCCACCATGCCCTGTACAGGCTAAAGCGGTTCCTGAAGATGAATCAATGAATAAAACAAATCTTCTGATTTTCTGTAGTATGGCAATTTTCACTGTCGTAGCACTTCGACAGGTGGAGAGCTTCCCCTCTACAGTGGTGTATGGTGACTATGGTGGTACATGGTGACTACAGAATTGTTGAAAAATGTAGAATTTAAAGGCACTGATTGTAGGAAATCTGTGACGAACTGGTGCTCCCAGTGTTCCCGGGATAAACTGGTTACTGAAGGTGAATGAATGAGTTACAGAACTGGAAAAGTATTGTAATTAAGAAAACATTTTGGGGGAAAAAAGTCTGGGTAGTCCTTTGGCAATATAAAACAGACTCAGGCATGTTTATTACATATTTCACCATAATACTACCATATTTATACTATAGTGTGTCATGGTAACTATGTTTATTACATCTTTAACCGTGATACTGTCACTGTTTCATTATGGTATCTCATGGTACTGTACCTAGGGTTACATATAGTATATATAGTCTTAACCATCACATTACCATGGTGCAACAGAATTGATAGCTGTGTTACAAACAAATACAAATGCGGATACGAATAGGAGATGCATTATTCCTAGCCAGAAAGGTTCACGCGGCATCTGGTTGTTACTAGAGTTGTGCATTGGGACTGGAGTCCCTCGGAACAAGAGGAAAATGTCACATGAGCAGAAGGTTTTTAGGTTCATGTTAACAGTGTTCATTCATTCATCCTTAGTAACTGCCTGGTCAGGGTTGCAGTGCTTTAAAATAAAGCTACTAGTTGCTTTATATTTTGGGAAACAGAACCAGCTAAATTTGTTACAAAACACTGTGGGCAGGTGGAAACAAAAATAATAACTGTGCAATCACTGTTCTGCAAACATTTCTAATTAATTATGAACTGCTTAGTTATCAGTTATGAGCCGGAGTGATGGAGCTGAGGCTGAGGAACTGTCAGAGCCAGAATTAACACACCACGCTGACACTTCTGACATTTCTACCTTCTTCCAGTGTTTTCCAGTATTTCCGGGGGCAGAATGGTAATTCAGAAAAAAAAGAAAGAAAAAATATAAAACCCTTCTGATTTAGGCCACACCCACTTTGGGTTTAAAATCCAAATACAGATATGGATATTTGGATCACTAAACACATACAGGTAGAGATAGTGGCATTGCATTACTCACCTAATATATTTGCAGACACACCACAGTGATTACATTTCTTTTGCACTGTAACCACATAACCACACCCCCGCAACGCACGTACTATCGCTTTGTAAATGCACACTAGAGACCATTTATAGATCATTACACTACTATCACATGTTGTTGCTGATGTAATAAGCAGCAGTGAGCTGTGTGTGCTGACAGGAGATTCATCTTTAGAGAAGAAATAAGAGTTCGAATGAGAGCCACCTGTCAGATAAATCAAACATACAGTTTTATCATGGTGACTACACTGACATATGGAAATATATTTAGATTTATATTTAAACATCTGGTCCTGATACACAAAAGGCAAAACTGTTTAACAATATCTTGTGCTTGGCTTAATATAATAATAAAGAACAAAAACAAGCCCTCTTTGTGGTGCAGTTTATAATAGGCAAAGGTTTAAAAAAAATAATTTAAGATGTCAGGTTCACGTTATCCAGCTAACAGACAAGTCAATCATTCCGTATTGCTCTGCTACTCTGGAAACAATGCGAGGCTCGTCGGCTCTCGTGATGCGATCGTCACTGGGCGCTGATGATCACATGTCTCCACAATGCAGGTGTACAACACTGACGTAAAGATTGCTAAATGCAGCCCCCTCCTCTGGTTCTATTCATTGCACTCGTAGAGATTGACGGCTGAGCAGTAGTTAACATCAGTGAGGGAAAAGCTAGCTTGTCAACACCTGTTAACAGCTTTTAAGATTTTACAACATGTTGACAAGCGCAGAATGCTAAGATGGGCACATTCTCTCGTTTAATGGCCTTTTCTCACTGTTTGTTAGTTTGGAGAGAGATAGGGAAATGATTTCATGTGATAAAGTAGTTTGCTCATCACAGTTCCATTCCAGTATTTACATTTTAGTTTATGTTTTGCTATTAGTGCATTGCGGATGTGTCTAAAACCACATTGTGTTCACTACACACACCATATACTGTCCTCAAATGACATGGTGCACTATGGGTATTTTCAAGGCAAATCACAGGTTCATATCGTGATCTTTTTATAAATACAACTTAGAGACTTGTATGGTGGATACGCCACACAATCTAATGCTAATAAAAAAATTGATTCAAAATGTGTTATTTAACAAAGAAAAACGTGTAATCAGTAATGTTTTCTGGAAGGAGGTGTTTGTTGAACATTCATGGAAGGAGTCTCCGATTCAACGTTGGGAAAGTAATGACGAAGGAGGTTGGGTTTTGTGGAGGAGGAGGAGGAGGCTCAGGTTGAATACAAATGCAGGTTTATTAAAACAATCCAAAATGGCAAGTCCAAAATTGTAGTTTTGCACAGGTCAGGCGATCAACGAACAAAAAGTCCAAAACAGATATTAGCAAAACAAATCAGTCAAAATTGGAGAAGCAAACAAGGTTTGGAATCATCACTTGTGCAAACTAGGAGAGACAATTCGCAATAGACTGAGGGAAAGTCTGGGTTATTTAAGGTGTGGTGACCTTGACTGTGAGGATGAATCATGTGACGAGGTTTATAGTCCGTGCAACTGAAAGGAAATAAAGTGTTGAGATGTTGCAGTGGATTCTGGGGTATAGAGTAGGAAATGATCAAATGATCAAACACTCACAATTCATTTTCATCCTTATTTGTAAAAGTTTCTATCATGCAACCACCATTTCATACTCTATAATGGGGGCAGTCGTAGCCTAATGGTTAGAGCATTGGACTTGCAACCCAAAGGTGAACCTGATGAACCTGAAGGTTGTGGGTTCGAGTCTCAGGCCGGTAGGGATTGTAGGTGGGGGGAGTGAATGACCAGCGCTCTCCTCCCCCAATACCATGACTGAGGTGAGTCCCTTGAGAAAGGCACCGATCCCCCAACTGCTCTCCAGGCACCGCAGCAAAAAAAGAAGACTGCCCACTTCTTCGGGTGTGTGTGGATGTGTGTTCACTACTGTGTGTGTGTGTGCACTTGGATGGGTTAAATTCAGAGCACAAATTCCGAGTATGGGTCACCACACTTGGCCACAAGTCACTTCACTTCACTATAATCTCATAGTAGATCAACGCATGCTTTAAAAAAAAATTCAAATAGTCACAGCTGTAATTGGAAATGGTCTCCTTTTGGCTTGTGAAGCTAACTACATTGTTAAACAGATCAGAAGCCAGAACATTTAGTACAAAGAACTCAACTTCGCTGCTGCCAGGATTTAAGCATCAGTCATTGAAAGTCTTCTCACAGTCTGGACCTAATTCTCAAGATGACAGAATGGATGATAATCTGATCTTGGCAGGAATTACTGAGATAATATTAGGGTGCTGTCACACTTGACATTTTTATTTTTAGATAACTATATCCATAACAATGCTCTTAACAGTCCTAGCTAGTATCGGCTAACTCTCCTCATTAGATTTATAATCATAAATCATGCTGATGAAATAAGGGTTGGTGTAAATCTGCTCACGAGGAGGTTGTTTGTTTTCGCTGTAGCACTTGAGCCGGAAAATCAAGAGGATTCGAGCTACATGTGTGAATTGACACGTTAGCTACGCAGCAATGTTGGAATATTGGCACTGAAATAGATTTTATTCAACGTGTCATGAATGTCTTTACGTTCGCTTAATAACACGACAAAGTTTTTTCACATGCACTTTGTCCTCCATGTTTGTTTTTCTTGCTTATCTCCCAACTTGCGATCTGATTGGTCTGGAAACGTGATGTCGCTGCACTTTTCTGAAAAGTTGAAACTCTGCTGTGCCAAAAAAAAAAAAAAAAAAAAAGAGAACCGTGCTTTTTAAAAGGAGCCACGTCCTGTAGGATTACACATAAAACATAAAGTATGAAAGGACTCTCACAGGGGAGCGTAATAAGTACAGAATAAAATGATGCAAAGCTGAGTTACTGTTACTACTCAGAAGTTAATTATTTCCCTTCTGACCAATCAGATTCCAGAAATCAACAGCGCTGTAGTATAAAACACTCACGGTATCTGAGAGGTGAGAGAGCTTGTGGACTTCAGTGGATTTTATTACTGATATGGTATGCGCCTGGCTGAGAGCATCCTGGATTTTGTTGTCTTTCCTATTGCATTATGAGATTTAGAAGGGTGACGCCTTTGCATTATTGAGCATGTGCCTTTGACATTTAAGCTCTCCTCTCTCTCTCTCTCTCTCTCTCTCACACACACACACACACTTCAAAATAACAAGAAGTTATTTTCGACTCATACTATGTATAACATTAATTTGCTTTCGACTTGCGTGCTATTTAAATCCACTTTCTGTACTTATATAATATTCACACTCTGAGGAATTACTCATTGAATGTATTTCTGCTCGGGCTTTACAGCCATTATTTATAGCCAGGATGGACGGTGACAAGCTCATAAGAATTATATGGAGGATCTTTTTAAGTAGGAGATGAAAAGCCATGCTGATAGTTATTTGCAGTTGCTCAGGGACTGTACTGTATTGTGTGGAGACGAGGGATTCGCTGACCCACTGATGGGAAAATCCAGGCACTCAATGCTTCTGTGATCACCCACTCATAGTGGTATAATAATTTATAGGGAAATTAGGGATTAAGGTGTATTCTCAGAGGTTTCTGCTATGTGTTTGTGATGTATACACAGTATTTTATGGTGGCTATGGAGATTTGTATTAGGGGTCAAATCACAGCACAACAAAGCTGCCCACTATTGGCCCATTATTGGACAAAACACTTAACCCTCAAAGTGTTCAATAAGTCCCAGTAACCAAGTAAATCTAAATCTAAATATTGGGCTGAGCTATGCCTAGACTTCTCTTAAAAGCATCTATACCATCTCTAAAGCCCTAATCGGACAGGATTAGTGTGGAGGTAACGGGGAGAAATGTAAGTCCTATCCGAATATGTCATTTCAGTCATTTTTCTATAAAATAACCAGGAGAAATAACCTCAGGTAATATAAACACTAACCAGCCACTTATTAGGAACTGCTCGGTTATGCAATTATCCAGTCAGCTAATCATGTGCAATGCAATGCATAAAATCATGCAGATACAGGTCATGAACTTCATAAAATTTCAAACATCAAACATCAGAATGGGGAAAAATGTGATCTCAGTGACTTTCACCATAGCATGGTTGCTGGTGCCAGATGGGCCGGGTTGAGTATTTCAGAAACCGCTGGTCTTCAGGGATTTTCACACATAACGAGTCAAATCAAGTCAAGTGGGTTTTTATTGTCATTCCTCTGTCTAACTTGTATACATTGGAACAAAATGTCGTTTCTCTAGGACCATGGTGCAACACATAAACAGTACACGAGACTATGTATATACACAACAATGTGAGATGAGTGCAGCACAATAAACACACAAAACAATATGCACAGAAGAATAAATACACAGGACAATCAAAAGACAGAACATGGAGTGTAAACTATTGAGTAGTGTAGCAGCAAATAAGTATAGCAGCAATACTGGCAGCAAAAAGAGTTCCATAAATAAAGTGTCTGATGTGAAGGGCCAGTGTGCAGTGGTATTGAGTCATACTGGGTTAGGTGTTCTCTAGTGTTTATAGAAAACTGTGCAAAAAAAAAAAATAAAAAAATAAAAAGAAATCAGAGATCAGAGGAGAGTATAGCGAGGCTGGTTCGAGCTGAATGGAAGGCTATGGTAACTCACATAACCACTCTTTACATCTGTGGTGAGCAGAAAAGCATCTCAGAATGCAAAAGGAACCTGGAGACAGATGGGCCACAACAGCAGAAGGCCACATCGGGTTTCCTGCCATCCAAGAACAGGAATCTGAGGTGACAGTTTGCATAGACTCATCAAAACTGGAGAGCTGAACATTAGAAAAAAACATCGGCTGGTCTTTTTCCAATCTTCAATGCCCATTTTTGGTTTATGCGTTGAGCTGCTGCCACATGATTGGCTGATTGGGTAATTGCATGAAATAGCAGGTGTCCAGGTGTTCCTAATAAAGTGGTCAGTGTTTGTATATCCCAACTGAATTGGCATGTTGTTAAAGATTTCACTATATCCTGTAGGAAAGGAGGTTTGCACTTTTTCCTTCATTAAGGAGACAAGTTTGGAATGCAGAACAATAAAATGTAGACAAAGTTTAAAAGAAATACAAATATGTTATGGTCATTGTTATTGTGCACGGCCACAAGCCCTGAAACAAGCTTATAAAAATGGTCAAAACCATCAGTTTGCATTAAAATGAGGTGTGTAAGACACATACAGCTTTTAATGTGAAGGTCATGAACACACTCGCATCTCTGTGATTTTTGCGGACACTGTCTGAATTGATCCTAATTACTACAGACAACCTCCAGCAACATTGCTTAATGTACAATCATCCCATCGTAATAGTACCTGATTATGACTCTGGGGTGGTCATGCAGCTCCCTCTGCTGTTGACATTCAGATATGACTTTCAGCCAAGATAATATGGAATCATATTCACATTATTCATGGGTGTTTAATGTGTAGAAGTGATCCGGTAGACCATTTGGACTTAGGTTGCGACAGTACAATATGCAAATATGTTAAAAGTACATGAAAAAAAAGTGACACATATTTCCTGTATTACCCAGGGGACATTTATCTGCATCATGTCCTTGTTTAAAAGACATTGAAGCAATTTGACAATAGGAGCAGGGAGTTGCACTGTCTATTGGATGGTCTTGCTGCTCCCTCTGCTGTTCACATTCAGACATGGATTAATAAATGATAAACAATCAATTAAATATCCATTAATAAATGGATTAATAAAATACAGCCAGGTTTTTTTAGGTACCGCAACAAGAAAGGGATTTTTACAGCATCAACAACAGTGCACACAAATTTCAAGTCCAAGAATAGAAATAATACACATACAATAATAATAATAATAATAATAATAATAATAATAATAATAATAATAATAATAATAATAATAATAATAATAATAATAAAAGCTTCAAGGGGTCCAATAAATAGGCAAAATGATGAGGCTAATATTTGAAAAGTTGGATTAGGTTCATAAAATAAATCTGTACCATGTACCACTTTCAAACATTACTATCTCTTGCTTACATGTAGACGCAATGCATATTCTTCTAACATCAAGAAAAGCCCTAAAGGTCTTGTTCTATTCCTAACAACGCTGTGGATGTACACTACTTACATCACCCCAATTCAACATAGGCGACTTTACTAAATAAAACTGAGTGAACCATTTTATCTGTAAAAATTAGAACTAATAAATCATGGCTGCTAATTCATACTGACTCAGACAATAGATGCAGGACTGAGGCTGTGGGAGCATGTATGGGATATTATAGAAATAAAATACAAAAATATTCAAAACAAAATTCCTAGAGGCTTACACGTGAGAATGAATACCAACAAAAGAATACACATTTGTTATATCATATGAATGCATAATCTATTGATGAAATTTTATGATATGCCTTGGGAAAACCCTTCACATGGTGAAATTCTGACATGATATCATCGGATATCATGTCACCACCAATATCATTAGTCACCAAAATACAGAGAATATATCTGGCTTACACTGCGAATATGAAAATATGGAGCTGAGATATTCAACAGTCCACACGTTTGCAGAATTTTTGGAATATTCCACTGAGCTCACCGGTACATTTCCTAGTTTTTCCGCTGTCGTAATACAAAATATACAACAGTTCCAAGTTACACGCAAGATTTTATATCTCAATATCTCCTGTTGATGTCCACTTCCTTCTGTTTTGTGCAAAATCTCGAGCACCTACTTTATAAGATGGAGATCAGTG